CTCCTGGACACCTCAGGGCTCCAGACTCAGGTCCTTACCTGATTTCCATTTTGCGGAGGATGGTGGGACACCCACCAGTCACTCCTGGAGATAACTTCATTTTCCAGAACCACAAGGAAGGTAGCTGTGACTTCCCCTGGGGTCCTGCCCTCTGGGGACCCAGCTTCCCCACCTGATCTTGCTCCTCCACAAGGTACCTCCTCCTCTGAGTAGCAGTTGCATGGAGGTTTGTGATCTGGATGTGCGAGAGGCAGTGGGATGGAGGGGAAGAGCACTGGACCGAGAGCCACCGTGACACCAGCTCTTGGCCTGGGTTTGGAGCAGATCTCACTCAGCCCCTGGGGGAAGCAACATCCTCACCTAGAAAGTGAACCAATGTGGAAAACGGCTTCTCAAGTCCCTCCTGGCTAAAAACTCATTAAAATTTCAGCAAAAAGATTTTTAGCAAACTGAGAGCCATCCAGAGACGTCAACTGGTCGCTCCCTTGACATTTCCCTAGCCTGGATTTTACACCCGCTGCCAACCACCTTCTTACTTCAATTCGGTAGCAGTTATGTCTCTTCTTCAGCTACGTTGGTTTAGGATACAAATCACTGGCTTCCGAGTTAATGGTTCAACCAGGAAGCTTTTCTCCCTGTAAATCTCCCGGCCCCACATCCACCCAAAGTGCTCCTCCTCCAGGGCCCTGGGAGGCGGTGGGATGCTGTGAGGAAGGTGCACTTGGGCTCCAGACTCCACCTGCACCCTGGCAACGGCATGACCGCGTCTGTGATTCTTGAAATCTTTTTTTCTGAATAAAGATGGATTTCATGGAGCTGTTTGTCATATATTTGGCTGCAGCCTCACATCTTCCTAAGTCTCTATGTTCCCATTTTAAAAATGAGAATAAAATAACGATTTCATATGGTTCCCGGGAGGGAAAAAGAGAAACATTCTATGTAAGGCACGGGGCATGGTGCCTATCACAGAGGAAGCCCTCGCTCCATTTGGCTTCCCTTGTTATTTTGATTACCTGATTAGGGAAAACCATGGAATCCGAGGGTTTGGGCCAGGAGCTACGTGTTGCCCAGATTGTACGATTGGAGAAGGGATGCCAAAATGTGTTTCCTGCTTCAGTGTCTCCCTCCGTTTTCTCATCTAACAAACGGAGGGCACGGTGATGCTTCCTTCCCCGCAGGAACGTTGTGAGGGTTAACTAAAACATCACACGAGAAACCGCTTCGTAAACTGTGGAGATCTGTTGCTAGCATTCTGAGGGACTGATCACTGAGGCGGGAACGCAAACAGGAGAAGGAGGATGAAGGGTGAAGAATGAAAAAGATGCTGAATACAGATTCCTCCCGCTCATAATCACGCCCAAAGGCCACCCTTGCTGTCTTTGAAAAGCCTGGCTCCCCAAATCCAATTGCGTTGCTGGGACTGGCCTGTTCCATAGGCAACAGGTTAGTCTTACTCATTCTTCAGACTGAGCTGTTCCAGACTCACTGTTCATGGTCCCTGGTGAACAGCACGCAGATAACACCAAATGCTACCAGCATCTCGGACACAACAGGGCCCCCTCCTCCTGCTGCAGGACCGTCCATCCCACGGGAGAGACCAGATGACAAGGGGGGCTTGACTGCGATTTCCCCTATGGCATGTCTATTCCAGCAGGTGAGACCCACCGAGCAAATGGTGTATTTGGCAAAATCTACGGACACTTGCCGGTATGCCCCAGCTGACCTTTGAACCCACGAGAAAATGGGTAAACACAGAAGAGTTAGGTTATCACAAGGTTCATTTTCTCCTAAAGTAACAAAAGTCACGACATGTGTGTTGAAGTCTGATACCCTCTCTGTCCCTCCCCCCCGGCCCCAGGCTCTTCAGTAATAACATTACGTGCTCAGGCTGGAATGTCAACTTGAACTTTAGCATTTGTGGCACAACCAACTATAACTCAGCTTAAGCAGACTTTTTTTTTTTTATGTGATTGAGTGTTCCAATTTACTCTGCACTTCCTGAGGCCCTTGGGTTAAAACAACATGATCTAATGCAATGAAAACCAAAAAAAAAAAAAAGATATTCTTTGCTTCCAGTAGGAAAAGGCCAATTGAGTCTACCCAAAGCATACTTAAAGTGTTAATCAGCCTAAAGGCCAACTGGTTTTCTCGCCTTCCTTTATGTCCACGCATTCAACCCAGAAGACTGCCCCCCCCACCTCCACGCAGTCTTTTGATGGCATATAGACCTACATATAAACAAGAATCTCTTGGAGATAAAAGGTGGTGTCACTGAATAGTTTTGAGGCAGATTAGGCTAAGAGGAAAAGTTCCGCCTTCAGTAATAAATTCTAGTTCTGTAACTCTCACCAGGAGTGTAGAGTATCAGAACTTTATAATATTCTTAAGGATATAAAATCAGGAGAGGGACCAGGGAGAAGTTGGTTCTGACTTGGGCTTTAAAACAAGGACAGGACTTGGTGGATGAAAAGGAGAAAAGAGGACATGCCACACGATGAAGGCAGGTCTGCACAGGTAAGTGCGCACGCTCGCACTCAACACCTGTCAGTAGAGAGTGTGCTGTGTCCGGGAACCGGGCGAAACGGGCACGACCGTGAACACGAATGTCTCCTGAAACGTACCTTCTTGTGAAAGGAGACAGAAAACAGAAAATAGCTGAGGCACATGTAGAGATGCCAGATGGTAGTAAGTGCCAAGGAAATGGGGAGTCGTGAGCGTGGAGTTGCTCTTTCACACAGAGTGACCAAGGGATGCCTCTCTGCAAAGTTAGACGGCTCTCTACAGGAAGACTGTCCTGTGCAAAAGGTACAGTAAGTGTAAAGGCCCTGGGG